CCCGAACAATTTTTCGGGTTTTGGATTCAATTAAATTATTCTCTTTGGTTCAACTCTATTTCGCCATTCCATCCAACTTTTTAATTTGTAATGACTTGCATATCGTGCGCGCGAAGCACCAAAGGAAATAAAAATCGCCATGAAATGCCAAAAAAAGAGAGCGGCGTTGTAAAACATTCCTTTGCAATTAGAACGAAAAAATTCAAATTCAAGATTAAAGATAATTGGTAAATGTTCAGCAACCTTCTAAATTGAAATCAAACCAAAATGCAAGCAACAAAGTTACAATCGAAAGATTTTCGGTCAAATGTTGCATGAACCTCAATCGACCGAATTACATTTTTTTTTTCAATACGGTGTTCTAATCGACGACCGTTTGTTTGTTGCCAATAGTCGATTGGAGTGTTTCGTGAGTGTGTGAAAAATGCAATTGTTTGTACGTGCATTGAATACATTCGGTTGTTCTCTTCCACCAGATTCAAGAAATAGGCGATAATTTTACAATTGAATTGTTTTCTATGTGTGTGTGTGTGTGTGTGTGTAATGGTTGGCGTGCACAACGAAACAAGAGACTTTCTGTTTCTGGAAAACAATTCATAACGATAAAAAAGGCATACACAGAAAGCAGTAGAATAGAAGAGAGAAAAAAAAAAACAACACACAAAGTTGCTTTAAATCGCCCATGCAATAAACATATATCATACATATATTGTTCGATTAGAGTCCATTTAAAGCGATTGAATGAGCGAACAAGCGTAGAAATACAGAAACGCGTGTGCACACTGGGCCGCGATTTTTTTCCCTTTTAATTGGGGGCCTCTATATTATCATTTCAATTGTGAGTAAGCCAGTGCACGCCACACTCCATTCGCCTCATATATTCGAATGAACGAACGAACAAAACGTTATTATTAAAACAACAATGTAAAATAAGTTAGTATGTGTATATGGCAGGCAACGGGGCAGCCGAAACAGCAAACCAAACAACCGTTGCATATACGAACACACCCAATCGACTTTAGATCACATTTACACTCACGAACGCACACAAATAGAATGAATTTCATACATGCTCAGCCAGCAAGATCCGTGCAATGGATTTTGGCTTTGGCGAATAGTACATTGATGACAGTGTGAGTGAGTGAATGAGTGTGTGTGTGTGTGCTCGTGCACAACCATATGATATTTTGATAGAGAGTACGGCGACTAGATAGAGACACACAAAATTCATGCCAACAGTCGTTTCAATTCAACGGCAAAATTCCGTTCGTGCATTGTTTATTCACAATTCTTAATGAATTGTTAGTTTATTTTTCATTTCATTTTGGTGAACTCTTTGTTTTGTCTCTTTCTCCTTCTTTTTTTTTTGTTGTTAAATGTGTGTTTATTAGTTTGGCTCAACGGCGATAAAACCAATCGATGTGTATGTCCAGAGAACGAAACAAGTTGAAATAAAAATCGCATTGTCGCATAACCATTAAGTACGAAAACGATTTTAGTGTCTTAGTGACATCGTGAAAAAAACAATCCCACAAAGTTTTTTACGTTATCACATACTATATTTTGCTTGATTGACTTGAACCAAATTCAATTTTATTTAAAAACAACAAAAAAAAATAATTCAGAAATTTCGTTTGTGAACAAATGCGGACAACTTGTTTGAAACTACAGTTGGCTGAATGCCCGAAATATATAAAAGAAAATTCTGTCGCATATCGCGCAAGTGAACACATTGCAGTCAAAATCAACAAACAAAGTGGGGACAAAAAATATATATAATATTTTTCTGCATCAATCAATTTTGTTCTTGGCCTGCTGTTTGCCATCAATTGCACGGCGACGGGGTCAAAAAAGACATTAAAAACGTGTTTTTTTTCTTCATCGAGTTTTAGTGTATTTTACACAAGTGCAGCTAGATTTTGAAAAAAAAAGAAACATCAAAGCTATATTACGAAGTAGAAACGCATCTAAGAATCAATTGAAGTGTGTGCGCGATTTTTTTCTTTTTTTCTCTCAACATAGAAAATATAGAAACCTGATCACATCAATTGTGAATGAATCAATTCGGTACTTATTGCTGCAGGGCAATTTTCGGTGTGTTTGTTAGTGCATTTGAGAGAGAAAGAATGGCAGCGATCAATTTTTTGACAGTTATGGCAATGTGCACAAAACAAGATTTTTAATACCGCATCAAATGACGGTACAAGTTTTTTTTTACATCAGAACGGTTCATTTCAATTGAGAGATTGAAAAACAAATATGCCTTCATCTCGAGAGATTAGTAAAATCTTGGCTGATCTACGACAGCATAGTAACTGGTATTAAAATTAAATCTTCAAAGAAAAACCGACGTCTTCATCCTCAACTACACAGTTGTTTATTCGTTTTGATTGGAATGGAAGTCTAGCTTAAGATACGACCGAGTTAAAACAAATCCTTGAAATCCACCGCATTTAATCCAGATTGTGATTTTGCTGCAGGGAAACGCTGAATTGAATGAATTTTCTGTTTTATTTACAAACGCTAACAAAACAAACACTAGTAGCTAAGATGAATCGTTGTGATTGTTAAACGATAACAAAATATCATCCCGTGATTCAATTGTTCTTTTGTTTGATTTTGATTTTATGTAAATGATGTGTGTACAGTTGTGTGAAGTAGCCGCAGTGAATAAGAAAATTATACTTATCGCACATGATGTGTGTGTGTGTGTGTGTGTCGTTGCGTCGTCATTTATTTCGGGAAATTTGTCTCATCCAGAATAATTGTAAAATAAGTAACATGTTAGTTGTTAATGCGCGACAAAAGATGAGGCCAAAAGTCACATTTGATCGTCGCTCCATTGATTTTAATTGAAAATTTTACAAATTTGATGCTTAATCTTCCTCGCTCTTCTTCTCGATTCGAATAAAAACATATCATTTTCACAGAATTTACTCATCATCGTGTGATGACGAACAAAAAAATATTATTATGGAAATTCGTTCGATCATGTATATAAATTACGATTGCGATTGAGTTCGTTAATATATGTAGTACAAACATTGTGTACATTTTTACCGACATTGGTTTAAGTGCGCAGTGTTGACGTCATTCGAAGATGATACACAATTGAGTCAGTTTATATTTTCAGCGAGCATTCATCATATGGAACGGATAATTCGTTAGAATTTTTATGAATAAAAACTCTCGATCGATTGAGCTATTTAGTTTTCTTGTCAAACGATGAATGAAATTTGCCACATGAGATTTCCTTTGGAAACAATTTACCCGCAAAATAATATAAAAAAACGATGCTACTGGTTTCTAATCGTGATTTGAAGATGTTTATCATCCATTCTGTGCATGTGAAAACGATGGAAAGAGCGTGGCAAGAGGAAGAGAATCAGGCATGAGATTGAATGTGTTGCTGGAGGGAACAATGACGGATTGTATAATCGACTTTCCCATCATGTTGATATTTTCTAATCTTCATAACAATAGAAAACGATATTTTCAAATTGCGCGCGCGGCAAGGAAGAAAAATGAGCGGCATTTTTACTTGTGATCTTACAATGGGTTTACATTAATCTTGGTGCTTTTCTCTCTCTCTCACTCCGTCACTCGTCTTCGTTTCGGTCGAGTTTGCCAAAAGGTACCCGCTTAATCGGATTTACGGTTGTTGTTTCAAAAAAAATTGTTTGCAAAATTCTGAAAAATAGCGGCCAGTTCTTTAATCAAAATTCCAATGCCGCCAAAACAATGTAGAATTGAATAAATTGCATCGAATGCAATGGGCGTTTTTGTCATGCACCTATTCATCCACCTCGGCATGTTGTTCGGTTTTTAATTGCATTTCTTTTTTGGTGAAAAATAAAACTGTCTCAATTCATTGATCACATCATTAATTTCCGGCTTTTGACACAAAGAAATCAATCTACATATTTGATATACTAAACATATTTCATGAAGCGAGAAGAGATAGCGAGTGATCGAGAGAGAGAGAGAGAATTTCATGCGTGAGAGACTTTATTAATCATCAACCAGAAAAAAGAACATGAACATCTCGATGCAACAAAGAGAATGAGAAAATTCCAACGGAATTCCGTTCATGATAACAAATTACCAATGTAAAGACGTGTGCGCGTATGCACAGTGAAAGCACCAAAACGATTCACTGCGGTCCGGCTAAATGAACATTTAGAGAGCAAAAACAAACAACAATCATTTATATTCCGAATCGAATTGAGAAACAAATGTAGCAAAATATTGAAACAATCTGTATAGTGTTTCATGTACGTGCGGAAATGCACACGTTTATTTGAATATTACCTTGTCGACCACAGCAAAAAAAAACAGCTACACCACACGAAAAATCTCGTGTATGAAACAAAAAAAATATCATAGAAAGTTGATATGCATCTTAAAATATGGCTTCTCCCTTTCGGAACACAAAGTTAAATTCGTTTCATAATAATTGCATTGTGTGAGGGAGGCCAGCTGCAAATTTAGATAGATTTTTTTTGCGATCACAATTACAAATGATTTTTTTTCTCTTTCACACCGTCACTTTCTTCCTCTCTGTGATCGTTTCACCGGCGGGCCCGTCATTTATTTCACTCGCCCGTTCCGACTATCTCCTCTCGATTTTTTTTCTTGCTCTTTCTACACACGTTTTCCGTCTCTGTCGTTATCAAATCTCCGGTAATTTTACATTGAGGCCATTAAATGTGATAACGAAAAATTGCCGCACGGTGTCGTGTACAAACGATCCTCGATCAAACACGATTTGGCCGAAAGACAGCATGCAAGTGAAATGTGAAATGCCGACACACATCGAACACTCGCTGATAAAGTGACATCTCTCTTTCTCTGTGAGTGTGTTTGTTTACCGTTCGTTGCTGTTTCGAATGCCAAAGATCACATTAAAAAAAAACAACGTCCAAAAATCAATGTATGAATGCAACACACGAAAGATAAGAAATGTTTGCATGCATCGGTTTTTTTCTTCGTTTTTTTTTTTTGCTTCTGATTATATGTACTTGGTGCTCGATTCGATGCACACAAACACACATAAACCGTTGTGCAGCGGGAGAAAATCAAATTCGACTTTCACTTGCTTCAACTTGAACCAAAATGCACATACATTTTAATTCAACAATTTTATATTAATCGTTTGTTTCGGCGAACGATTTAATGCTGCAATTATGATCAATATGATGGCACAGGTGAAATACACACAAACAAACACACAGAGAGAAAGAAAGAAACAAGATAATTGCCGTATCGAATCGATTGCAGTGACAGTGGAATAACAGTTTCATGTACACTTTCACGAAGGAACCCCCAATCGGCGCTGCTTCAAAATGAGAAAAACAGAATTTTTAATTTATTTACACAATCACATTAATAAAGAGTGTCGCATAAAATACAAAACTTGAACATGACAAAGTAGAAAAACAGCAGAAATTTATTCAAAAATAAACTTGAATGGTATGATGTTCGTTAACGAGAGAAGATATGTGAAACACGCACATTTGGTCATTTGACATAGATTTAACGCATTAGGCTCGGCGCCATCTCTCTAATGTTCGCATTTCTTGTCAAACGAAAAAAAAACACAAACACACATCATCCGAAATTGATCGTTTGCGGTTGGCTCGCTCCATCCGAATCTCTCTCATTCGCTCAACAAACATGATCGTCGTTGATTTATGCGTTCATTTGATAGTGTTTTCTTTTATTTTGTAAACAACAGACATTTTTCTTCAGAATTAAAAAGAAAAACTGTGTGGATTGCACAACATTTTCAATTGTGAAAGTAAAACAATAACGTTTCGAAATGAATGTCAAAGTGAATCCCGAACAATTGGATACATAAAATTGAAGGAAAAAAAGTATATTGGACAAGAAGTGACCGAAAGAATCGAAAAACTGGAACATAGATAGAGAAAAAAGAGTGTCGGTTTGGAGCAAAGAATGACATCGGCATCGGGAGTGCGGGCAACAGCGGATATACCAAACAATAGTGAGCCCGAAAGTCTCGACAGCCTAGCATACGATGATTGGGAAGGGCAATTCGAATTTGTTGGCAACAACAATAACAACAACAACAGTAGTGTAAATGATGGCACAACACCAACACCAACGACCAGCGACATGGTTGAAGATCTAAATTTAACCACACCCAAACATGTCAATCAATCATTGCAAAATTTTCCGATTTTAATTGATGAAGAGACATTTTTGAGCATGCAATCAAACAACAATGATGAACCATATTCAATGCTGCCGGAACCCGACTCCCATCAATTGATTGAAAACGCATTGAAACATTTACAATTTGACAATCATGTGCCATCGCAAAACAATAAAACGAACAAACGAGCCACACATAACGATGTAAATAGTACTTCGTCTAGGTTAAGCTTCTTCGACAATATCATTGAGATGAAAAATCGACGAAACATTCAATGTGACAACAACAACAACAAAAACAATAACAATAGCAATAATAATCATAACAATAATGACAGCTGTTGTCATTCACATGCTTTCAAAATGACTGATGTGAATTTTGCGCATGAGCTGTACGATTCTTTGCTTAAGGAGTCGTACAAGGAACAAGTAAGTGAATCGCTCTCAAAATTTCCTCAATTCGCATGTTCGGCATGCATGTCGCGTCGCGCGTCCCGTCACGCGGCTCGTGTGCAAACACAAATTATAAAATGAGAAAGAAACAAACAAAAAAGGATGAATTATTCACGCCCACGCGCTTCCGTCCTTACGTCCAATCCACTCTTTTTTTAATTTTCAAACGATCTTTTTCGTCTGCACGCCAAAACATACACATGACTCAGTTAAATTCTTTCATCATCTGTAATTAATTTACTGAATTACTTTTTCTTATTAATAATTTTTTATGGTTTCTTTCTTCCCTTCATTTTTAAATGGTATGTCTCATTGAATTGATCACACCCACAAGAAAATGTGGTGCAAATGTCGAGCAAAATTAAAATTTGCATTTGAATCATCACTGCACATATGTCCGTCCGTCTACTCTGCGTGTACGTTGTTTGAAATGTTCCAGTGTAAAATTTATTAATCACAAATTTCTTTAAGTATTTCGTCATCACGCTGTGAGCATGAATAGATCTCATCATATTCCCCGGCATTCACACAAACAGAGACCGACAAATATAATATTTACATTTGCGATCACAATCAACGATATTCTTTCTTTAAATAACTTGACTCGGACGAACGTTTATTTAAATAAACATTGGACTCTATCGCAAGTGGCAGCATCACACATACACATATCCATTCAGTCGTCAAAGAATGTTCACATAATGATCCGTTCCAATTATGAGTTGCTCTCATTTTCAACCGGGTCGGACAAATTGTGCTCGCTGCTTTGTTTAGTGCGAATTTTTTTTTTCAATTTTGTATACGATCGTCATACGCTTCGAAATTTATATGTATCTTGACAGGAATTTAGTGACAACACAATGTTATAAGCGTTGCGTTCCGCTTGCTGATACAAATTGTTTGACCGATACAAAGCGAGTCCAATGAACGGCAACAATACACAATAAAATTGATTTAGATTATGGTTAATTGATGGTTGTGTTGATGGACGATGATATGACTGTTGTTGAAAATGAAATTATTGACGATTTTCTAGCCGAATTTGACGTTTTAAAAGTTCGACTGACTTATTTGGTACAAAAAAAAAAAAAAAACAAAACATCGCGACTCATTCATTTATCATTAATACATTTTTATTGAACATAGCATATACGCTTCTGTCGTTTTATACGTCAAAACTAATCAGTTGATTTTTGTTTGAATTTTTACAGTTGGAAATATTGCAGCGTCAAGTAAGCACACTAGCTGACTCACAAAGCAATGCAGAGGATCGTACATCGCGAACAAAAACCGAACATGCCGTCCTTCAGGCACGCTATCATATGCTGGAAGATCAACTCAGAGAGGTAAATATAGAAATAATGTCCTTTTTATCCAAACGTTTGATATTTAATCTTTTAACTTCATTTTTTTTCCTTTATATTTGCACAGGTGGAAATTCGTGCCGAAGAGCGTTTAAATGAAGAGCAGAAACGGCACCGTGAATTACTAGCACGTGTCGAACGCGAAGCCATTTTGCAGAATGAAAATTGCCAAATTAAAATTCGCACCATTGAATTAGAAACAAATAACTTGAGAGAGGAATTGCAAAGACTTCGAACACAATATGATAAACAAACGGTTGAGCTTCGAACAACGACAGAGAAACTGGAGGATGTTTGCGATAATTTGACATTGGCGCGCGAAGAACTGACGGAAGCGAAGGAAAATGAGAAAAAGTTAGTGAATTGTTGCCGTTTCAGAAACTCATATGTCAATTGACAGAAATATCTAACCGAAAAACAAATGTTTAATTCAAATAAAATAGGTATTTGGCAGAGAAATTAGCTGCCGAAGATTTAATGATTGAATTGGGAAAAGAGGTGGAACGTTTGCGCCAAGAATGTGGACCAGCAATGCCAACAACATCACCGGAAACGTTGCGACTTGAAGAGCTGCATCAAGAAATGGAAGAATTGCGACAGGCTAAAAAACAACTAATCGAACAAAATGAAGAGCTTCAAGCAATGGTTTTAACTCGTGGAGTCGAAGAGGGCCGCAACCTATTGAATGGCACATCAAATAGTTTGGCCCAAGAAATCGACGAACTAAATGATCGACAGGTAAGCCAAATCAACCTTTGAATGCTAAATAAATTAAGGAATAAATCAATTCAAGTCAATGTCCCTTTGATATTCGATGAACTCCTTAGAAAATTTTGATATTCATCATCATCATTATCATCATATTGGAAACCAATCCGTTTATTTCAATTGATTTTCAATGTGTTTGTGTATTTGTTTGTCTTGCAGGATTCTGTCGATTCAGCTAGTACATTAGCCTCTTTGACTAAGGTAAAAACGAATCGGAATCACGATTTCACGCTCTCACATCATTTGCTTGTGTGTGCTTGTGTTTGTGTTTGTGATATCTCTTCTTCTCTCCTTCCGTTCCCTCTCATATTTCGCCTTCACTTCGATCATTCTCACTCATGCTATTGTTTTTTTGGTCTTCTTTTTGAAAAATCAACCATTTTTTTATATTATTCGTAGCACAAAATTCAATAGCTAAAAAATCTATTTGTTGTTAACAATTCTAGTTGAAAATTCGCCTATTTTCACATAATTTCATGTTTTTCGAATTAATAGAGGCATTTATCATTCCTATCCATTTGTTAATAAATTAATAATAAGTCCTTTGATCCCGCCACTAAATTTTTCTTTAATTAAAAAAAATTCCATATGGGTATTTGGGGTATTTTATTTAACTCTTTTTTTTATAAAATTTAGTTTAACTGTAAGCTTATAATTTCCCGATTTTGTAATGGAAAAGAAAAAAAAAAAAACAAATTTTCATTTTTTATTTTTTTTATTGAATTTTTTCAGTTACAAGCAGCTTATCAGGAGAAAGAAGAAGAAAACCAACGACTGAAGCATTATATTGATACCATTTTGTTGAACATTGTGGAAAATTATCCGCAAATTTTAGAAGTTAAGACAAATCCAATGTCAAATAAGCGATAAAAGGCCACGCATACACAAATCAACAAATCATCAAACTCGATTGAATTCAGTCATGGAGCTATAGCACAACAAAAAAGAATATTTAATTTTTGTTTTTCTCTTTCGTTTCATAGAAAACGACTTAAGATTAATAATAATTATTATTGTCAGCATTAATAATTTAAATAAGATGAAACATTTGTAAATGAATTGCAATTATGAGAATATCCAACATGTAAACGAGTCGTTGGAGTGCCTTTTATGTTCGATCGATGTTAATTTCATCAAATTGATATCGAATCTATTTTTAAATATTTTAATTTTGATCATGTTGTATCTTTTTCGCTTTGAATATCGAATAATTGTATGTATACATATTTGCTCAAAATCTGTATGGTTCTATTGCGTTGATGATTTTGATATTGTATATAAAAAAATTTAATTCAGTTAGACAATAATAAAAGAAGTCGTAATAATTTCTTTTTCAATTCAGGATCCGATTCAAGCACTGAAATGTACCGAGAGGCGTCAATTTTTTTTAAAAGAAAAATGGAATGAGATTGACAAAAGAGGTTTTAAAAAAATCTGTTGCGCCGAATCAAATATTGAACAAAAGAAGGAATAATTAGAAAATGATTTTTTAGGTTTTTATTCTAATCTACTGAAGTCATTTGACCTCCATAGTTCAGATGTGGAAAAATTGTTTTGTATATTCTACTAGTAATAAAACGAAACGAGCAAAAATCTTTTAGACAGAAAGAAAAAATATAAAACGACTCATTTAAAAATTCAATCAGTCTTAAGACACTTTAAATGGAAATCTCCACATTTAGACATTTACGATTCATTATTACTGTAAATAAGATATATTAAAATAAATAAGAAATATTTTTTTCATAAAAATTCGTCTTTTACAATCATTTTGATTTTTTTATTTTTATTTTTTGACGTTGAACAATGAACATAGATGATGACGTAAAAATTTTTAGGGGGTGATGGCAAAATTCCGTAGGGGGTCCCTGGAAAAATCCATGGGGGGTCCCTTACGATGTCAACAATTTGTAGAAAATGAGGATAAAATCTTTTTTTTTTGGAAGTCACTTTTGGAGACGAAAATCCCTAGCAAATCGGAAGATTTTTCTCGGCCAAAAAAAGTGAAGAGCAAAAAAAAGGTTGTTGAGAGTTCTTAAAAATATTTTAGGAACCCTCGTCACCACCTATGACGTTGAAGATGTATGAAGAAACTGCCAATCACCTTACCTTTATTGTTCAATGCGGCTTATGGAACGATGAAATATATTAACATGTGATCTGACTTTTAAGTAATTAAAATGAAAAAATGGAAAAAATACCGAATCGAATATCATTTATTAGTTTCAACGTTTTAACAAACAAAATTTGCGGATTTCGTTACTTTATTATAATGCGGAATGCATGGTGAACTCTGCAAAAGTCTGGAATATTCATAACATATCTAAAATGGATATGTTAACCAAAGCGATGATTTCACTTCGACCAAATCATTGGATTTTATCTCAACCAGTCCAAAATCAGTACATTATTTTATGAATGTAGATCGTTAATTTGCATCGATTTTTTAGTTTTGCTCGTTCCTTATTTAATTGTTCCATATCTTTATCAGTATAATCCTTAAGTGAAAATAGAACTCTGATTTCTTTTAATTTACCAAATTTACCACATAAAATATCTTCAAAACTTGCAACCATACACTCAATCTCTTCAAGTGATGATGGAATATTCGCTGCAATCTCATTCAAATCTTGAACAAAAAATCCGGTCAGTTGAGATGGGAATTTATGTAAGATGCGATTTGATTCAATAAATTTCCAGATATTTTCAAAGCAAAGCTGTTTATATAAATTTTATGTAAAGAAAATCGAACATTTGAATCTCATGTTACACATACTTTCATTCTATAAACGAGTAAGAGTCAGCAATACGCGCATTGTATCAATACCGTTGTATGCTGTTTGAGATTCAAACAAAAACGGCAACACATTTGAGTGAGTTTGAATGAGACTGAAAGAATTTATTTTTAGTGAATAAATTGTAAAATGTCAACGTAATAAATGAACAATTTTATTGGAAACTATGCATATAATCAACTTTCCATTGACACGAAAATTACCACCGAAATGGGTGTACCACCGAAAATTTCATCGAATTTTGATCTATTCGTACTGGAGGGATCCTGATTATCATTGCTTACTTGACTCATTTTAACAACAAAAAACCCAACAATAAAGCAGACTAGCACTTCCACTTGAACACCAAAATGCGATTGAAGTGTTTTTTCCATTTGAAACACCCAGAAAAAGAAATGTAAATTAGTTAAAGTGTCTACCTGTGTTAAGCCAAAATCGTTTTTCGGTAGAATTGTATGCATGCCTTGGAGACGACAATTTTCCATAAAACAATAGAAAAACATCACAGTCTGCCTTTCTTCGCCCAGAAAAATTAATCCATAAAAAAAAATCCATTAATTGTTGCTTATTTCTCATATGAATTGCGTCTTTTTCCCTTCTTCAAAATTTATCACGGGCAGACCCCCAAATGACCCAATACATAACATACATATGCACATACTTATAATTGTGCTTACGGTTGTTAACTGCATAAAGTTACATTCCTTTAAATGGAATTCAGTCAAGTACCGAAACAAGCACTGAATGGCATCAATTCTTTTTATTCAATCATAAGTAGGATAGGCTGAGCGTTCATCAAATTTGACCTGAAGATATTTACAAATTTTGAATTTATTTTTTGAACGTTATGGGCAATACATTTTAAGTTGTAGAAAAATGGAATGAAATTGAAAAAACAGGTTAAAAAAAATTGTGGCCGAATATAATAAATCTTGCAGGAAAAATTCACATTTTTGGATATTTTTGACCATTATGCTCAAATGTCATTCAACAGAATCGATCAAATTAAAAAAAATAAAAAATTAAACCAATCTGGCAGAACGGTTGATGCAAATGAATTGGCCTCGTGACTGGTTAAGATCAGTTATCAAGCCTGAGACCCAGACGTAATATTAAAAAGTAGCACAGTGTTACATAGATTAAATCCAGTGGGCAGATATCAATTACATCTGTTTTGCTTATTAATAATATCCCACTATAATGGATAAATTGAAAATATTTGAAATCATTTCAATTCTGCGAATTATTGCAGGTTACTTCTCTGTATGTGTGCGTGGCCTGTATTTGTATGTATTTGCACCGCATAGCAAAGCGAACACATACACAGTTTGTGTGACAGTTCGTGTGACACTTTGCAGTAGAGTAGACTGTCGACGTTTGCATGGATGTCATATTCAATAGCAAGGTAATATTCGGTTAAAAATAAAAATACAAGTAGATTTATTGTTGCAATGGGTTATTTAAATTCAATGTGTTTTATCGATATATTTGTTATGTTGGTGTAAAAAAGCTTTTTTGGTTTGGTTATCGAAAATAAAGATGGAAATGGAGGTTGATGGTATTGTCAAATCACTTGTTGAAATCGATTCAAATTAACCCCAATCACAATGAATCGTGACTGCGCCCAGAATACGGTCATTCAGATGTTTTTTTTTTTTTTCATTCAGCAAATAATTGAACGCTCAAGTGTAAGAATGGTCGATTCATCTTGTGCCTATGAATTTTGCATGGTGTGAATGCATTTCGCAAATGCATATTAACAAACAAAATGCATATAAATGTGTATATAATATTAAAACTTTGTAAAAAAGCAGCAATTTCGTTGCAAAAGTATGGGACATTTTTATTCACTGTGAACATAAGAAATTTGCAAAATACACCTCTTTGTTTAAGACAATTTCGCAAAAATCCCACAGCCTACGCCACAAAGGCTAGAGTGAAGTTGTTTTTATTTTCATTTTCCTCTTCAACCGAACCCAAATATGGAAAACAACATGCCAATCAACAACGATTTTGAACTAAAATACTGAATTTGAGCTGCCGATGACAAATATAGATGGTAAAATGGTTTTAAGTTCGTACAAGATGTTCCGTTGGCATATATAAGCAGTAACTTTATTCAAATTCACCAATTAGTTCTGTTCTGTTGGCCAAATTCGAATACATGCATGCACAGATGTAAGATATGGCATAGAGAGTTATAAATCACGAAAAGATTTGAATGATATGCATGGTGATGTGCTGAGATCATTATTCCAACAGCGTTTTCTTTAACGACTGAGTCATACCTCTTTCTTTTCTTCATTTCTTTTCCTTTTGCTTCTTTTTGTCTTTTTTCCTTTGAGAACAAGTCTTATGCAAGTTTTGTCTTATGCGAAGGGGCAGCAGCTTTAACCGGGGTTTAAGCTAAAATCGTTTGCAAATCAACAATTCTAATCACAAATCATTCATTTGATTTTATATTTTTGAAATAAAAATGTTTAAATCATTTAATTCCATGTGTCCAAACGAGTTAATTTATATGATTTTGTAGTTTGTATTAAAAGAATACAGTTGAAAATCAAGAAAAAAAAAATTGGTGTTAACAAACATTGGGAGTGTTATCCGAAAATACAGGCAAGGAGCTCATGGTAAAATGAAAATGAATGACTGCAATCGCGCATTATAATATGAATGGAATAAAAAAAAAGTCACTCTGAATGCTCAAACCAAAAATGGTATCAGCAGAAGTGTGCCTAAGCTGAGCCATTTTTTTAGAGAAATCTGTGAATTTTTGGTTCATAAGAAAATCATGATGATCGTTTGTTTTCATTTTAGTTTTGTGTGTGACATGAAAACCCTATTCATTCATTTCGATTCACAGTTAAGAGAACAGTTACATTCAATTTTATCTTTGGTAAAAACTTGTTGTCGTCAACATTGACGAGTAACAATTACAGATTTTCAGTTGAAATTTCCATGTGAAAATCCGTCTTTATTTTGTATGCCGGTATACAAAAAGTAAAACATAGATAAAAATCTGTAAATCCAGCAACAACAATAAAATAAATAAAAAAGAACGTACGGCGTCGTATAGTTGTGTGTAATGTTATACAGTAATAGGTAATGTGAATGGTAATAAAGGCGCGCGCGAGCGGAAGAGATACTGTTAGAAAGAGAGAGATATGGGAGGGGAGAGTGAAAGAGAGAAAAGTGTGAGTGTAGCAACGACAAACAACAACACCGAGTTTGTAGTCAAGCTGTTTTGTGCAACAGTGTGAGTGTGAGTGCACAGAGAACGATGGAGCGCTGCCGCTGACGAACAAACCATTAAGTAGTTTAGTCTCTAAAAACACACGGAATAGAGAGAATGAAAATATAAACATTGTGACTTTTTATTAGATAGTTAATGAGCTCCAAAACAGATACTGTTAAAAATAATAATACTTATTTGGTTTCGTTTTGGTTTATAATACGTATGTGCGTGTGTTTATGTTTGTGGACACATTGAAAAAAATGAAAATGATCACACAAATGTTACAAGTTCTTTGAGTGTTAAATATGACCTTTTGGTGTATAGCCGTTTTGCTTTAGACGCTCTATAATATAGGTATAGTGCAAAAATTATAATCTTAAAAACACGACATATTCGTTTTTATTATTATTATTTTTTTCTAACAATTGCTGTTGTTGTTACAATTGCACGCGAATGAAAGAAATTAACAAAAAAAATATGAAGTGTGAAGCAACAAAATGGGAAAGAAGGTCAACAAATAATTGGATCTCTCTTCATGTGCCATTGTGCGAAATATAGGTCGTTGAATTTACACAAAATCAATATCCGACGTTTTTTTTTATTTTTCTGTCTGTTTCACAGTTTTAATAACCATACAAGTGAAGATTATAAAGCAATAATTTATGTGAACGAAAAAAAATGTGTTCTTATTGTATCTTCTGAAATGTTGATTAACCGTCTTCTGTACTTGCCATTTACAAATGGATTTGTTGTTAGAAAGTTTTATTTTAAAAGTCGAAGAAGAAGAAAAAAAAGAACAAAACCATGGACTCTCCTCTTCTATGAAACACATTGATACAGTGTGAATGTGTAAGAAAATAAGATATATTTTATTTGTTCCACTCTTTCGGTTTGCAACTTCCGCATATAATAGATGAACGAACGTGAGTGAACAAACAGAGCAGAACACACACGTCTATAAAATTCAAGTGCATCTCATTTATGGAAAAAACTAAGTTTCAGATATACATGTACATATGCTGAGAATGAGTGTGTTACTTTACCAATTCTTGACCAACTGAATTTGTGTTCATTTCAAAATGATAAAAGTGTCAATATGACGGTCTTTGTTTGTCGGTCATTCCGGCCGTATTCTGGGTTGACATTCAAATTTTAACATTTTAGTTGAACCTAGAATCAACGAATTGTTTTTATTCTCAACCATACAACACATGAATAACATTTTCCTTTTGTCATGATGTTCTGAATCGATTCAAAGAATTGATGCAGATGTTTCGATTTTTGCTACAAGAATCGCGCAGCTGAAGTAAATAGAGAGAGAGAGAGAGAGAAGAAGAAGAAAAGAACGAAAAGAAATCACATGGCGTAAACAATCTCCTGCGTTGATGTTGATTTTACACTTGACGTACTTCAAATGCGAAACAAACAACCCTACACAAAATTAATCCAATTTCAATTTGTAATGCTAAAAGCCTCAAAGACTGAAATTTTTCTGCATCGAATTAAGTTATTTTCATTGTAAACACACACAAACACACACAAACACACACACAATGAATGCAAAAATTACTATGATTAGTGTAAAAAAATATATCTAAAAGATCACTAGCATAAGCACGAAACAGCATCAAAAAAACTACGTCGTTGCAATCTATACGTATAATACATACAGTCTAATCATTATTGCTGAAAATTGAAAGCCCGTAAAAATTTATCATTTCTGCCTAACACCTCATTCAGAAAGGCGGTGCATATATAATAACAGCGCGATATATATTTTTTTTTTATGTGTACACATTGTTGGGTTCGGTTGTGTGTGCTTACTTACTTTCAGCCATTTGTAAATACGTAGTCATCACATGTGTGTGTGGTATCAATTCGATGATCGTATAAATTCTTTTCGAAATTATCCAGATTATTATGAGCCGTCACACAATTTCAACAATGATGAAACAGTAAAAAAAAAGATAGGAACGTCTCAATGATAAGATTTCTTTTTGCTGCTTAGAAAGATGACACCGATATTATTATTTTTTTCTCGGAGAAAAAACGATTCATATTAGGTTGACACGATCAAATTGAATGTTATTTTATCATGTTCAATGGAGTACACATGATCACGGTTTTTTTGTAAAAGTAATTTATCTATAAAGAAAATGTTGGATGTGTAATCATTCATTCAACAAATTATTTTCGATTTTTTTTATTCAATAACAACATCATTACCATCAGATCTGCAACAAGAAAAAGTAAATGGTCAAATAATTACGTTTAAGTGAACAATAATTAGTGTATTGGTGCAGCATGATTAGAAAAAAAAGAAAATCAAAAATTAAGAAAAACTAAATAATTCATGTTGTTCGCTTGAAATGTTCCTTAATTACAATGGCTGAATAATTCATGTGTTTTTTAAAAATGTTTTAGAACCATGATTGTTGATTCGCAACTTGTGTGGGTTAGAGACTCAACTGAGGGCTACATTCAGGGCCACATCTCAGAAATTGGACCAGCTGAATTCGAAATTATCCCCGTTGACCGAAAATATCCGAAACGAATATGCTCGGTAGATGATATTTTTCCATCATGTGACAATGGTAAGTACTCTGTAAAATAGAAGGGATTAAATATTAATCATTTGGGATTTTTCATCAAAATAATCCAAAAGGATTAAATGTTAGCACTATAGAATTAAATTTGAATACTTACTAAAAGTAGCTATAATAAGACCACGATGACATCCCGCACAATACCCAGGGCTTACGGCCGAGAGTTTTGTGCTTGGTCTTGGATAGAACGCGATGTTCCTTGTATAGGTTGTTGATTCTGAAAGTATTGATTATAATAATGTGAACTTCTAGTTAAACATAGCTAGTGTGCATTTGAATATTCCATAATGAAATTTTCATTACAATTTGATAAATTATTTTTTTTTTTACCTGAATGGGTACTGTAGGTCTTTGAAATACGGGGTGTAGTTCTTCATTCATTACAGCACACCGTCCTATGTTTGAATTGTTTAACAAATAACAAATTAATTACTTATTGTTCATATTTAGAAATCGATTCAATCAAATGCACAAACCTTTGTAGAGTATATTGCGACCGGCGTTTGTATCACGATTCCATTTTATAGTACGACCAATTGTCCGTTTTTCTTCGTAGCGTCGGAATTTTGATGCCATACGTGGTCCAGGACGAGGTCGATGTTTTCGTTGTTTCGTCAAAAGATGATTACCCTTTCTCGAGTCGATGGGACCATGTGGTTTATTTCCTTCTGGCAATGGTTCGCATCCACGGCAAGTAAAGTATCGATACTTCATCTTCACACGATCACCTTTCTTCGGAAATTCCAAGTCTTTGAAACACAATGAGCACACCTTTGTTGTTCGAAATTCATCCACTTTGACCACTGCACAGTTGCGCCGTCGCTTCATTTTCTCAAATAAATCGCGTACTTTCGACCGAATATAACCTATTTTTTAAATAAAATCACAAATAGTATTTGGCAAACTCAATATAATGGTGTTATAACTTCAATCATAAATAAATAAATAACCTTTTGCTTCTGAGTCGGCAGCAATGAAATTTTCACCCACAAATACGAATGTTTCTTTGCCATCGATCAACCAGTCTGCCAAATTGTCGAGTGTCTTATTCGTATCGATGTACTGTAGAAAATCTTGAAGTGCATATTCGTACTGCGTGTATGCTTCAAACTTCTCATTGAAATGCCGTAAAAAATGATCGACATATCTATCAATGTTGTCTGAATGTGGACTTGGTTGCTCATCAAAAGATTCTCGGTGAATACGCATTTTTTCGTCAATGTTGAAAGTCAACTTTTTGCGCCATTTATTTCGCTTGCGATAGCCGATCATGTGATTATATTGACCCGATATCAATCGAACGAGTTTTTCGCGGCGATTTTCCTTGTTCGGATCATTGTAATTGGTCACACAAACACCGCCAATCACCAGCCGAAGACCTGGATCGAGACCATACACTTGTTGCGCTTTCAATAACTTTTCTTGAGTCTCCCGCATGATTTCATTTTCGTCTTTGACAACGACGAATTTTGTGCGTTCCATCCAGAATGACATAGCCACTCCATCCGTTTGAATCGAATTTCGGAATTTTATAGTGGCACGATTTTCATTTTGCGGTGTTCTTTCGATGTCAAAATACGTTCGCCAAAGCACGACCCAATCAGCGGCTTTTAATTCCTCACGTTGCTTTGGTGTTCCATCACGTCTAATGAGCCGTGGGTGTGGGCATCCGATCTCTCTCAAAATCGATTGTGTGCAACCGATTGATTTGAAATAATGTAAAAATATTAACGGCTTACCGTTGCAAATATAGAAATATTGGTACGTATTTGAACCAATTGCCTGCCGTCGTCATCGTGAAAAAATATGCTCGACCATCTCCGAAACGAATTGGATGCAATCCATTTTTTAGTATTTCAATTAGATACGGATCTGGTACGCGCTCTGATTTGTGTGTAGTGATAGTTGAATATATTTGATATTTTCTCAATTTTTGGAGCTCTCACGAAATATTTACGACACAAACGATAAATCATTCTGGACACCTTGTATCCACAGTTCATTACGGCATCTTCATCGTCGCTATCAAAATTTTGTGTCCCTCGGAAAAAATCATCGAAGAAGTTCTTATCCACAAATTTACTGAAGTAATCTTCGATTTCACCGTATCGATTGCCATCACAACGCACTTGAAAAAATTTGAAAATCAAGTAATGAACACTGAGTGCACCCATCGTGAGAAACATCGCGTCATTTCAAGCACATAATCGCTGATCAAATCACGAAATTCATCTGTTTTCATTGGTCGATTGTGTTTCAAGCCTTTTTTTGCACTTTTCTTTATCGTTTGATTTTCACAAAATTTTTTCCTCTTTACTGGCTTTGGCTTAGAAACCGATGCTGCAGGCTTCCGTTTCTTTCCAGCCATCGTGATCGAGTGATAGTATACCGAAGAGTTCTCTTATATTTAAAGTCTAAAATCTGTTGATTCAGCAATATATTATTTTTGATGAATTTATAGGTTCCCGGTATTTTAAAAACGGGCCTCTAAAAATTCATCAAAATATACAATCACCGATTCATGTGATCGAACGGGTTCACAATAAACAAACTAACAATGCATTCATTTCACTCTTGTATAAATATAATTTCACAAGTCTTCGATGCAAGTTCACCAAAAACTTTATTGAAAATCATTCGTCACCAAAGCAAGAATATTCTCAAGCATTTTACAATGTTTGTTTCGGTTGTTCACGATTCTGATGGATTTTGAAAACTCAGCAAAATGTTCGCCATGTTACGCTTCACAAAAAAAAATCGGTGAGCTCAAAAGAGTGAGGTTATGAAATGGAATATGTGCTGATATCAATGCAAACCGATCCCAACTTTTATTGAGAACCATCCGCTAATCACCCTTTCTTCACTTTGTTTCCACTAGCTATAAAATTTTTTATCAGAAATCTTATAAATAGCACAGAAGCGTTGGAAAAAAAGATTTCATTGAAAATCATCTTTTAATAAACAAACCCATCGAAATTCCAACAGAAACAAAAATAGTTTTTTCGACAACGGTGCAATCGTTTTACACAATAAACATAAGACCGTGAAAGGTTATGTTTGTAATCGAAAGACAATGACAGGCGTTTGAAGTTTCATGTAAATGTCAATACAATATGAAACAGTGTTCCACCAGAATGATTATTTATTTAATATTCAAACAATTAATACAATTTAACTGTTTTACAAAACTATTGTATTTTGCATTTAAAATGAATACAAAAAATCTTTCTAGCACCTTCTTATTTCATTTTAATCCATTTGGATTTTTTATCAAATAAATCCGAAAGGATTATATTTTAATCCCATCAAAATTACAGTGTATCTACAATATTTTGTTTGTTTTTTCCCCTTTATACCGACTATCAAGGTTATCAAAGATGTTCAAAAATAACAATCGTTAAATTTTCTGTGTATTTGTATTGATTAGAAAAAAAATAGACCATAAAAAATCTTTTCTTTGTTTTTATTTTACAGACGATAAAAAAGATCACGATGACAATTGTAAGTATTGACCAAAGCGATGAAAGTGACGGATTAAAAATTGATTTGTTGTTAATTTTAATTGTCTTTTGATTGAAGGTGAACTTTTGTTTCTGAACGAAGCAACATTTTTAGACAATTTAAAAACTCGGTATTTTAAAGATAAAATTTATGTGAGTAAATATAACTTTATATTAGATTGTTAACAGGAGTGATAATTTAACACCAAACAATTTGAATGTCATTTTATAGACGTATGTGGCGAATATTTTGATTGCCCTGAATCCGTACAAAGAAATCAAAGATTTATATTCGGAGGCATCAATCAAGCGATACAATGGAAAATCGTTGGGAGAATTACCGCCGCATGTCTTTGCAATTGGTATGTAATCCAACTACACACCCATGTATTAAAATTGTTTGAGTTATGGACTTAAATTCCATATTTTTTTTCTTTTTCGACATTAAAGCGGATAAAGCGATTCGTGATATGCGTGTGCTGAAGAAATCACAATCGATCATTGTGTCGGGTGAGTCGGGTGCTGGTAAAACGGAATCAACAAAATATTTGCTTAAATATTTATGTCATTCGTTGGCCGCTGCCGGTCCCATTGAGCAAAAAATTCTCGATGCAAATCCAATTTTAGAAGCATTTGGCAATGCCAAAACAACACGAAACAACAATAGTTCACGATTTGGAAAATTCATTGAGGTGATTGCTATAATCAGATTATATTGTTTTACATAAGATGCGATCATGCTTATTTAATTTTACATAAGAACATATCATTACCGTTGAACAATTGCTATGCATTACAGGTTCATTACGATTCAAAATGTCAAGTTGTTGGCGGATATATATCGCATTATTTGCTGGAGAAAAGTCGTATCTGTACTCAAAGCCAAGAAGAACGAAACTATCATGTATTTTATATGCTATGCGCTGGCGCTCCGCAACACATTAAAGAAAAACTGTGTCTAGGCAAACCCGATGATTACAGAGTACGTTACACACAAATTGTCACATATCATTCCGGTTTATGCCAACGAAAATGATGTTGAATTCAATTTTGAATGTTTTTTTTTCACATTTTAAATTCGTTTAAACACAGTATTTATCCGGATGTACACAATACTTTGCAACCGCATCAACCGATCGAAAAATATCAGCTGCAAGCAAATCAAAATCGCATCTGGCCAATGGACCAATTAAAGATCCAATTTTGGATGATTTTAATGATTTTCAAAAATTGGACGAAGCACTGTCACGGCTTGGTCTGAATGAGATGACGAGACTTGAAATATATGCGCTCGTTGCCAGTGTTTTACACTTGGGCAACATCACATTTGAAGAGAATCCAGAAGATGTTCGGGGTGGTTGTCAAGTTTCAAAATCATCCGAACATACACTATCGATTACATCTAAATTGCTTGGCGTTGATTCATTCGAGCTACGGCAAGCGTTGGTGTCACGTGTCATGCAAAGCAAAGGCGGCGGCATCAAAGGAACCGTCATTATGTAAGTGTGGCATTGAATTTTCTTTGTCCAACAAGTTAAACTAACTACTTGACAACAAATTACAGTTTTTAACCGATTTCCTTCACTTTCAGGGTTCCACTGAAAATCTATGAAGCCAACAATGCAAGAGATGCATTGGCAAAGGCGTTATACAATCGTTTATTTGATCGCATTGTTGCTAACATTAATCAAAATATTCCATTTAGTTCTTCCACATACTACATTGGTGTTCTCGACATTGCCGGTTTCGGTAAGACTTCAAAGCTTCTTTAATAACGAAGAATTTTCGTACTATATTGATTTTTTGTTTGTTTGTAGAATACTTTACGGTTAATTCATTTGAACAATTCTGCATCAATTACTGTAATGAAAAATTACAGAAATTTTTCAACGACAACATTTTGAAGCACGAACAAGAGCTGTATCGACGTGAAGGATTGAATGTACCAGAAATTCAATTCACTGACAACCAAGATATTATTGGTAGGTGTCATCGCAGTTATCCGCTGCAACTGAAAAGGTTCAAAGCTAATGCATTCGATTTTTAATAATCCGAACAGAATTGATCGAATCAAAATCGAAAGGAATTTTTATATTACTTGACGAAGAATCAAAACTACCCAAACCATCATTCAATCATTTTACATTGGAAGTACATAAATCGTGGAAAGGTCACTTCCGTTTGTCTCTACCAAGAGCATCGAAACTCAAAGCACACAGAACATTACGCGATGAAGAAGGTTTTCTGGTGAGACATTTCGCTGGCGCTGTTTGTTACACTACGGTAAGGGCAATGTTATTTATTCATCTAAAATCGAAAATATTTTCAAAAAAAATCTCTTCTCTTATTGTGCAGAACCAATTTATCGAGAAGAATAATGACGCACTTCATGCTTCGCTGGAGGCTTTGGTCCAGGAGTCTGCCAATCCATTGATAAAAATGTTGTTTTCTGGAAAAAACAGCAATGCATCGTCGAGGGGAAAATTAAATTTCATCTCGGTTGGTTCGAAATTCAATGCGCAACTTGGTGAATTGATGGAAAAACTAGAGAAAAATGTAATTATAAAAACATAAACCAAAAAAAAGAACGCCCTTTTAAAGAAATGATTGCTTTATTCTCCACAGGGTACAAATTTTATTCGATGTATCAAGCCAAATAGTCGCATGGCGGATCGAGAATTCGAAGGTAGTTTGGCATTGACTCAGCTCAATTGTTCGGGCACAACGTCGGTGCTTGAGCTCATGGAATACGGTTATCCATCTCGTGTTCCATTCGCCGAACTGTACAATATGTACAAAAAGTTTTTGCCACCCGAACTTGTTAAATTAGAACCGAAAGTATTTTGCGAGGCAATGTTACATTCGCTTAAATTGAATCATAAAGATTTTAAATTTGGCATCACAAAAGTCTTCTTTCGACCGGGCAAATTCGTTGAATTCGATCGCATCATGAAATCAGATCCAGAGAATTTGAAGGCGATTGTTATCAATGTTAAAAAATGGTTGGTACGTTCGAGATGGATTAAATCAGCATTCTGTGCAATTTGCGTCATTAAATGTAAGCCAATTGATACAAAATTTTGTTTTTCACTGTGCAATAAAATTAATTCAATTTTTTTTCGTTTTTTCAGTGAAAAATCGCATAAAATATCGCAACAAGTGTGTGTTATACATTCAAAAGATCGTACGTGGTTTTCTTGCTCGCAAACAACATCAGCCACGATATCGTGGTATTATTAAAATTAAGTCGCTCAAAGAGAAATTACGACGATCCACCGATATTGTAAACCAGGTGAAGGGCAGCAAAGATAAAATTCTAAAGCAGGCAAATGAAGTCGAGCAGTTGATTGATGGCTACGTTAAGAGCATCCGAAACGATGGCCGCATCAGTCCAAAAACAATCGATAGAATGTATGAGGATATCATCACCAAGATTGATAACTATAACAATTTGTTACAATCAGAGCTGAAGGTTTGTCAATATTTTCAATTTTATATCAAGAGACATCCGACATTTATTTGAAAAAAAATCAAAATTTTATCACATCAGATGCAACGTCAAGCTGAAGAACAAGACAGATTGCGAAAGATTCAAGAGGCCCTCGAGCTTGAACGTAAACAAAAGCAGGAAGAGGATCGAAGAATACGCGAAGACGAAGAAAATCGGCGAAAGTAAGAAATTGCGAAAAATTGATCGATTGGCTTTGAAACGAATTCTAATGTATGTTTGAAAATATTATAGAAAAGTTGAAATTGAATCAAAACGCAAAATGGAAGAACTGGAACGCAAACGTCAAGAAGACGAAGATCTTCGAGCTGCGGTCGCACTGCAGGTACTTGACAAGTTTTAATTCTAAAAAGAAACAAATTAATCGAAATCGTAATTGATCGCAGGCTCAGTTGGAAAAAGAAGCCCAAGAGGACAATGAATATCGTCAGCAATTGGAGCAAGAGCGTCGTGATCATGAGCTTGCATTGCGTTTGGCTCAAGAGACCAACAGTCAAGTTGAAGATAGTCCGTTACTAATGCGAAAGTAAGTACCAACATATCAATTACCATAGACTTAAGCAATGGATTGATGGGGAGCAAATTAAACACTCAGTATAAGATCACATGGTGCACTCTTTTTCAAATAGAAATAATTGCTGCAAAATTGAGCATTTAAGAGAAAATTAGTTTGGTAATGTTACGAATGCACGTACCTCCTTCAAATTGAAGGCGTCTATATCAATTTTGTTTTCTCTCTCGACAAATTGAGATATTGTATAAATTACTGAAAATGGGAAGATGGCGATCTTATATCTTATTTATAGTGTATATTGTAAAAAGCTGTATTTTACTTTCTATATATTAATTCACGCAGTGATAGGAGTGATGTGACCTCGCTGAACAATTCAAATCGACTTATCAGGTACATATTGAACGCACACACCAATTAATTAGCCTGTAAATGTTGGAAATGTTTGCATAAGCACACTGACACACACACACACACACACTTCATGTATACACGTAGTTCAAATAGATAAATCAACAAAAAAAAATCGTAGAAAAAATATGGAGAAAGAAAATACAAAAGAAATGCGATTTGGAAATTCGATGCACGCAAAAGGTTACACACAAATGAATATCATTACTTCGTCACACTGTGATTTTCAAAATATAATTACAACAACAATCTATATGCACATCTCTTGTATGTATCTAATTTTTCATGCGAAATGTTTGCGTGCACTGGATTCCTAATGCGCCAATGCTAATTATATAGAGTTCAAGCTCGATTCAAGACGGCTCGACTAATTCTTTTTTTTGAATATTTTGTGGTATATAGATCAGAGAATGTTCGAGCTCAACAGCAAATAAACGGTCGACAAACGCATGATTTATCAAAATGGAAATATTCAGAGCTTCGCGATGCAATCAATACGTCATGTGATATTGAATTACTTGAGGTAAATTCTCGGTAAAAATTTAATGTTAAAATTCGAAATTAATTATTTAAAAAATTTATTCGAAAAAAAGGCATGTCGTCACGAATTTCATCGCCGCTTAAAGGTGTACCATGCGTGGAAGGCCAAGAATCGAAAACGTACCACAATGGATGAGAATGAACGGGCACCGCGAAGCGTAATGGAAGCGGCCGCTCGATCACCAATGCGTGTTCAACCGAAGCAGGAAATTATTTTTTCCACACATCGCTATTTTCGCATACCATTCTTGCGGGCGAATTCGAATCAACATGAAAATGATTCAAATCAAAATGGTTTGAATTCCGATTCCAGTAAGTAATAATCATGATAATTTTTAAATTATTTCGAATTTATTGGTAATTATTTTTGAATTTTTAAATTGAATAGATAAACGAGGGTTGTGGTATGCTCATTTCGATGGGCAATATGTTGCCAGACAAATGGAATTGCATGAAGACAAACCACCGATTTTGCTTGTTGCAGGTATAAATCACAACAGCGTACTAAATTTCTTCAAAAAAAATCGAAGTTCTAATTGCGTTGTAACATTTCAGGTGTGGATGATATGCAAATGTGTGAATTGAGTCTGGAAGAGACTGGATTGACAAGAAAACGCGGCGCTGAAATACTTGAGCATGAATTCAACAAGGAGTGGGAGCGTAACGGTGGTGGCAAACCACAAATTCGGAATCAGCACACTAATTGAATAAATCCAATTCATTGTCTAAGCCTTATTCTTCTTCGCCTTAATTTGCTGGATTTATTTTTTCACTATTAATATTATAATACACGTTTGTGATTGATATAAAAAAACACTGAATTTATTGATTTAATTTTCAAAGTAATGAATTTTTCATTTTGTTTTGTCGTTTGTACACGTACATTTTAGTGAAATGATATAGATAAAAACCCAGCAATTTGGTTTTAAATTAAATTTATTTCAAAACAAAAGGAAACAAAAGAAAAAAAGATCTTATTTGTGACATTTTCATATTCACATTTATAAACATATTTTATTTTTACTTGATTTCAAAAATATATTTTACAATTCCAACAAATAATAATTATAATTAATATATAATATATATTAAACACAATGAGAATATTGATTATATTTATTTAAAAACAAACAAAAATGGAAACAATAAAAATGTTAGCTTGAACACCCAAGTGAAATTCTTATTTAATGTGAAATTTTAGAGTCGTAATTATTTAGTATCGTTTTTGCCATTTAATCGACTTTAGTATTTCAAACGTACAGCTGAAATGAGCTGGATATTATATTATAATTTCATCATTGGCGGGCGATTTTTCCTATTGAAGATCAATTCATATGAGTCACAATTTTTAGCAATTGGACAGCATTTTTATTTTAAAATTTCCGGATACATTTTTGGGACAGAAGCTAAGTTTATTTTTATCTGTGGTTGTTTTAAAAGAGAACTTGTTTATTGCTTGTCTTAAAAAACGAAGAAGCCTACTCAGAGAAATTGAACAGTTTGTTGTGTATTTCGCCCATTTACACTGACGTTTCACACACAGTGTGAAACGTCGAATTACTCGCACTACAACAAAAATGATGTGAATTCGATATTTTACACTGTGTATGTATAACATCAGTGCAAATCGTCATTGATTTTTCGTAAATCGATTCAGTCGATTTTTTATTTTTTTCGGGTTACATTGTTATTAAGCTTTTAATAGAAGGGTTTTAAATAGAATAGTCAGAGTCATAGTCATAAGATTCTTCTTCGCTATAAACTTCTTCAAGATGATATTCTAACCACATTCGATTTTGATCGATGATTTTATCCGGAACGTGTAGTTCGATTTTTTCATCGATGACATGAATATCCAATTTTGTAGGAAATTCACTGCTTCGACTTTTTATGGCTGCAACCATTGCCAAATAAACATTCTTTCTGACATGTTGTCGATTATACGTGTAGCATCGAAAGAATGACAAATTTTTTGAATTGATCACAATTTCTTTCATTTCTGAGCTGTGTAAACAAAATCCTTCCGCGTATAGAGTTCCCAATTTGAACATTCCATTGACCGATTTTGCTAATGCGCCAGACTCAAGGTCACAGTCCGTAATTTCCAAAGACGAAATTTCATGCAATTTTGCCAAACTGTCCGCTAATTTCGAGTTCAGATGGAAATCAGATATTTCCAATTGATCGATCGATATTGGATTTTCAGCAATAGCCGCAACAAATCTTTCAACAGCTTCGTGTTCCGTACCAGAAAAGTCCAACTTCAGCAAGTCCAGATGTTGATTCGAAAAAACTAGCTTGTGACCAGAACTTACAAATGAACCATTCAAGTGCAGCGTTTTCAATGACCTACATGCGTTCAGTAGACGAATGAAGTCACCGTGTTGACATTTTAGCTGCAATGATTCGATGCGAGCGAATATAGAATTCAGTGGTTGTATCCAAGCCTCTTTTATTTCACTGTCGACACATATCTTCAATTCAGTGAGCATTGATTTTTCGCCGCAGCAATATGTTGTAAAGAGGTCCATAATGCGATTGTTATGTTCTTGCATCACGTATGAAATATTGAGAATGTTGACACACTGACCAAAGTTTCGGAATAAGCGTGTTATCAAATGTTTTATCAAAGTGCCGATTGGACGACGACTACTGATAAATACTTCGAGACCGGATATGCGACTTGAATAGATTTCGACGTTTATAGAACGGTTTTCAGCGATCTTGATTGCATTTTTTCGGAATCGAGTGCAAACATCGGCTGCAACACAAAGGTCTTCAATCTCCAAGTATCGGAATATCTTACAAATGTGATCATCATTCAACACATCGCATAAATTCATGGACGACTTTTCTTCAACTTTAAATTGATGGATATTGTTTGACTTATCGACATCAATGCCTATGGCTTTCATGTCCTTTGTAATTTCAGATGTAGATTCCATATTGCCTGAAATATGATGAAAATGAAATACGCAATCACATATCTATCACATTTGTTTCATATCAAAAATGATTGAAAATTAATGCGCAATTAATCTCACAAAAAAAAACTATACACAACCGGCCGAAGTAATCACATAGAAAAAAGAGAACGTTGATCAGTACCTTTCTCGCTGATTGACAGTTTTTCCTTTCTTTTGATATTTAAATATTTGCCACTGTACGCAAACAAACATGGATTAAAATGCACTTTGTCAGCAGGTTGATAGTTGATACGCAGTTTAAAATAATCATACACTGACATTTTCGAAATAATGCGTTCAACATATCTTTATGTCAACAAATTTTGTGAATTGACCAAAAATCGTTGTGATTGTGAATATTCCACTGCAGTGAACGTTTGCAAAACTTATTCGACTCATGTAAGATATTTCAATTCAATCTTCGTTGCGAATAGTAAACAACACTTATACACTTATACAACAAAACACAACTGTAGTCGATCCGTTGAATGTCGATGAACTGTCACCCGAAACTGACTACATGCTTACTGTTAAAGGAATTTCTGGTATAACATTGGAGCAAAAAGTTCCTCTTTATCTTTTGGCCAAAAGATACACAATCCTCAGTCAAACCGATAAATCCTGCTTAAAACCAAATTGCGTTAAGTTTCTAGTATTGGTCAAAATATGCTTGAGACTAGGGGCTCAGAACTAAAACCATTTTTTTTGTTCAGAATTAAGTATTATTTGTTATTTTAATACTACGAATTTTCTTAAATATATACTCCAAATCTTTTTTCATTTCGTTTATCAGTTTAATGTGCTTTCTAAAATCATCATTGGTGGACTTCAGGCGACTATTACTCAAAGCATTACAGTTTAGAAGCATTTCATTTGTCTTTTCAAAACGTTGTAACCTAAAACAAAAGAAAATTAAATTAAATTTATCTTTTCGGTTAAATTATTATTATTTTTTTTTTTCAATTAAAGCAAAATGCATACATTTGTTTCTGGGCACGAATAATGAGTTCTACATCTTCTTGATTCACAATACCAGCAATATGTTGTACGAACACCTCCGGAGCCGTAAAATTTTGATAACACTCGAAATTACTGTATTCACTATCCGGTGATTCATGTTGAGACCGTTGCTAAAATAAAATTAAATGGAATTATGTCAACCATATGAAGCAGTATTTTAATTACCAATTTTGTAGTATCATCAGTCAACTGATGATATGGCAATGATTTGTTTGAGTCGTTGTTCATAATGAAAACATAAACAAACTATGATATTTTTCGATTGTTTTTTTTTTTAATTATTGAAGGCACTCAATACTGCAGATATGAAATTCACGTTTTCAAACAACTAACTTTTTTTTTTAATTCAGTGACAGCTTCGTTTCATTTGGGTGCAATTTGGACAGCTCCTTTTCGAACACCAAACACACTCACACATGTGTATGTTTCATTGTACACGTTTCATTCTTCTAGTCGTTTCAAATGTTCAAGTCAGACAAGTTTGCAGGTCGGAGAGTTTCTTCGTGTATAGTCGCATCGGTTTTGACATCGCACTTCAATTAGTCTCTTTTGTCTCTGCCGTAAAAGAACACACAAACTACGCGTCGTGTAATATTGAATGGTTAGAAATTCAATTTGTGTCTTTTTAAATTAATATTCAATATCCAAAAGGAATTTAAAAAAAAAATTGCAGTAAATAGTTTTATGTGTTGGAAGAAATTTTCAGAAATTACTGATTTATTTGTGTATCAATTTTAAATAATTCCAGATATCTCCAATCGTGGTAAATATAATTTATTGACGAAATAAAATGGCCGGCTTTTAATGATTTAAATATAATGTTCTTTTAATGATTTTCAATATTAAATTAACCTTTGTTATTGAATATTGATGCAAGTGCCGCAAAATTATATTTCCACTCACTTATTTAAATACGCAATACAAAAAAAAAATAGATTATTAAATTATGTTAATGAAATGAAAAATGTCTAGGTATACCAGGTTTAAGAGAATGAGAGGCGGTCGTTCATTTGCATCGCGAGGTGGTCGTCCAGGTGACCGAGACTATGGCGGTAAATTTAGAGGTAATTCGTACCGGGATGGTCCATCCGGAGGCGGCCGATTCAATAACCAAAATCGAGGAAATGATCGCAGATTTGATGATAGTTTTGGTAAAAGTGGATCATCAAGCCGCAGTAGGTCACGGTATGACCGCCGTTCACCTGACCGTTTCGCACACGGCAATCTCGATCGTTCAAATCGGGTAATTTTGAGGAATAAATATCACTCCTAATTAAAAAAAAATAATTCATAAAAAATATTAATACTTTCAGAACGACCCACGAGATGATCCCATACTAAAGAAGAGACCACGAATTGAAGTAAGTGAAAATTTCGTAGGAACATATACACATAATCTCATTTTTTGGAGAATAATTACAGAAAATGAAAACACTGTACACATATAAAGTTTAATCAAAATAATATAATTTGGTACATGTTTTTTCTATGGTTCACCGGAAAAAACACGTGCAAAAGTATGTAAAATGTTACATCATTTAATTTGAATGCTTTTCAATGCGATCTGTTCTACACTTGAGCGTTTATTCAATGCATGAGTACCAAAAATATAGCTTCTAAATTGGCCGAAGGTACTTGTTGGATTATTATTTTAATCACAGAACCACAAATCTTTTGTCACACACATGTGATGTAGTTCGATGTAGTTTCTCAGCAAAAAGTTTGGATTCACATAAATATACTTCACATTCGAATCTTATAAGAAGAAGAAAAACATAGCAAAAAAATCAGAAAAAAAATATATTTTTCAAATGGTAATCAATGGTGATTTCAAACTTGATGATAACAATCAAGTTCAGGCAAAAGCTTGTTCGTGCAAACAAAGCACAAGAATCATATAATGCTTTGGGTATTGAAAACTAAAGAATTTGTGGAATTTTAAGTTTTGGAAATATTTAAACATATCGCATTTATGCCAGATATTTTTTTTTTAATCAATAGATTGGTGTTTATTTTGCTAAAGTTTATATATTTAAATTAAACAGCTCGAATCTTGCAAGCGTTCTTCTAATGGGAACGAAAAAAGTATAAAATATTTACTCATCTTTTTTTTCACTTCAATTCAAAGTTCTATCAGTCAACATTCTGGCATAGATGCAATATGTGCTTTCGGAAGACTTTTTTTTTTGTTTCAAGCAGATTTAGACATTTTCAATACACATTTGGGATGAATCAAGAAATCTTGATTATTTATCAAAATAAATTATTTCTATTTTAACAATTAGGATAAGAGCGATACTATTGTTTTGGTCAACCGAAATTACACAACATAAAATAGAGTTAGCCATAAATATTATCAGAAATATATGTGTAACAAAGCCAAATCGTGGTGGTGTCCAGATTTTTGGACACACATATATAGAGAGAGAGAGCGACAAAGGAATGAATGAAATGCTAGAAAATAGTTGCACAAATTCACTCGAGTGAAGGACAATTAGCGATATCAAAATTACGCTATTGATATAGAGAATGAATTGATATAATTTCTCTACAAACGAGCAAACATTGTCTGAAAAATGCAAATACAGAATAGAAATTAAAAAAAAAACAAACACTTTTGAATAAGACAAGTTAACGCTATCATGTAGACTATTTGACGACCCAATTGATGGCCAGTCTGCACGACATTTTCAAAACAAACGATGCTTTTAAATGTGCACAAGATGAAATTCAAAATGGAATAGAAAGAAAGAGAGACAGAGAGAGGGAGAGAGAGAGAGAAAGAGAGAGACAAAAAGCACAAAATAATTGCATAAACATGAACATGAATATAAATATGAAAATGAGTAAAATAGTCGTAACTATGGTGATGAACCATCATAGATCGACATCATCAAATCGAATTGATCAAAATCTAAATGCAACTATTATTCGTATTGGTTATTGAAATGCGACCAATTAAATTTCATTCACTAACTCATGCATTTTGCAAAATCAACGGTGGTTTTCACAGAAATGTGTAGCAGTCACAGATAGAAATTGAAAATGCTGTGAAAATCATATGTGAAAAAAGTAAAACCAAAAACAAATCAAATACAATGATCTCTTTAATAGAGCAATAGTGGCAGACGGCGTGATTTCAGCAGTAATTTATCCGATAATAATCGACACAGTCGTCATCACTCAAATGGAGATAACGGTCGGAATATCAACAATCGGAACAACAGACGTTCACCACCAAAGTCCAGTCCATCATCACGTCATGCAAATGTTGAGATTGGTTCGTCGCATCATGTAAAAGAGCGTACACTCGGTGAATATTTCGTATTTCATTTTTATCTAGATCTTGTCCAGATTTGTTTGGCAAAACCGAAATGGAAGTGCCAGCAGAATTTAAGACTCAACATCACATCCAATTATTCAAGCCTACTCACGTCAATTTATAAATATTGTCGAGAGTAAAATATGGAATCAACTGGTTTTTGATTCAAAGAGTATTTGGACATAGAAAAAGACTGTTTTTGATTAGGCTTGAACATTTTGATGATTTTGTTCTGAAATATTACGATACATATTGAAATGAGGCTAAATTTGACTGTTACGAATTTTGCAAATTCATTCAGCAGTGAATAAGGCGAACCGTCGATTCAGCGGAAAAGGTGTATCGGTACGTGATAAGGTGGAAACAAACGCCCGAATTCGACGATCGAAGTTGATGACATCCGTGCGATCGACTATTTTGCGGCGCAGTTTAGTTAATAATCGGAAACGAGATGCGGCCAGAAGAGCCAAACTAATGCGGAGGTATTTTATTTGCTTATCATTGTCAACCCATTCAAATAGCTTTGTAAGGTTTTTCACAGTTGATTTTGTTAAGAAAATGTTTGAATCATAGTGACCGAAATCAAAGTTACATAATTGAATTGCGCGTTGCAAATAATTAATTAATTTCCTTTTTTCAACACATATGAATATGAATTCAGTTCTTTGATGAAACGTAATACTGCTGTCAAGAAAAATATCGTTGAAGAAGATGACGGTGAAAGGACATCAAAATCGAAAACTGAAGAAACTGATTCGAAATCGGACGTTGACAAAGAATCAGACAAGAAAAAATCGACAAAAAAACCATCTGACGATAATGAGAACGAGAACGATGAAAATCAAGTTGAAGAAACCATCGATGATTCGAAACTCAATGCACCGAATGAAGCAGATAAATTGCCAATTACTAAAGCATCTGATAATGAAGATGATAAGGAGTCGGTTAAAAAGGAAGACGAAAAAGAGAAACGAAAGAAGTTTGTTCGACTATTTTGTCCCCATTGCAGAATTGAAAGTGCAACATTCAAGGTAAAAACAACAACAACATTGACACACTTTTTCTTTACAATCTAAATCTTTTGTTTACAATCTCTAGGATTATAATAATCATATTCACAGTCGCAGTCATAAATTACTTTTGGGTAAGTATTCCAATAAAAAAAATACTAATTTATACTAACCGAGTAATGCGCTATATGTTTTATATGAAAACGTCACACGAATCTCCCCCGAAAACGACATCTTTGGTCTTGCAGCAGAAGCTGTTTCTATGCTGAAAATTTCCTTTCAGTTTAAAAAATTTAAAATATTATGTATGTAGAATTGTACAAATATTTTAAAACTTTGAAATGAGATTTACAGAAATATGCATTTGAAAATTGTTTTAAAAAATAAACACGGTACAGTCAATTTCAAAAATTTCAATGAATAATATTGTTGACATATTTTCACGATGACAGCTATTTTTGCGGTACAAAATTGACCCGTTTGAATGATTTGTCAATATTGAACAATTGAACATACTCTACACACATGGGGAAACAGAGATGGCGTTGTCGTAGCATGTAGAAAAATATATGTTTAACGCAATATTCGGCTTATTTATACTTTGATTAATTTCCATTTTTTGTGTAATTCTCCCCCAGGTCGCTACGGATTGAAACAAAAAAGTCGCTTGGCTCGAATGCGTCTGGCACAACGTAATGCTCAACGTCAATTGGAAAAAGAGCTTAAAGATGCGGAAAAACTAACGCCACAATTTTGTATGTTATGCCGCCTAAACTATCGTTCACCAAAAGAAGAACACCAAGCATCTGAGGCACATCGCACGATGAAAGAGTTTTTGATGCCGCACTGTGAAATATGTTCCAGTTCGTTCAAGAGTCCAATGTCTTACGAAATTCATCGGTGCTCCGTCGAACATCTCAGGGTAAAGTTTGCAATCAAAATTGAATTTTTAAACTTTTCGAACAAAAAAATAATATTTTTCATTGTTACATACTTATTGTTTATACAGAAGAAAGCAAATAAGGGAGATGAGAGGGTAAGCACTTTGAAAACTTTTTTATGCTAATTAATTTCCATTAATTTAAAATTGTTCTTCTCTGGTTCCCCGGCAGGATGAGAGTGATGTTGAAGAAAGCGAAGAGTTGCAAGTTGATTTGGAGAATTTCTTGATTGTCGATTCGGTTGGTGATGTAAACGGTGGTGAATTTTCATTTAATGATGAGAGTGATGAAAATCCTATCGATGTCAAGTCATCTGACGTTACATCACGTGCCGAAATCAATGTGGGCAACGAGCATGTGAAAAAAGTTGAAGTTTTGTATTGTGAACTATGTCGCTATTATTTGCCACATTTGGATGATTCAGAGGCTGCTTTACAGAAACATTGTAGCACACGTAACCATTTGCGAGCATATTTACGATACAAAGAAAATCAGTCTCTAAAAATCACAGCTGAAATGATTCATAGAAGAGACCACAAAGAGAAACACTCGAAAAAAGACTGTAAGTTTTACTCGCTCACAAAATCTGCATACGGATGAACTCAATTTGGTTTATTTTACAGCCAAATCCATGGAGTCAGACGGTAAACACTCAAGTTCCGTTGCCAAAACGGATGATGACATTACGGACAAAATTTGGGAAGATGCTGAGAAGGATTGCGATCAAATCGAGCAATCCAATTTGAAGAATAACAATGAAGATGAGGACGATACATCTGTTGAACGGTAAAAACGAGATTCATGAGCTTGATTTATATTATTCATCCTTAATTTACTTTTTAGCTTCGATCGTTTTAAGAACAGCGAAAAGTCTGACGAAGCTGAAGTTTCTGAAAATGATGCTGACACAGATATAGACAACACAAAAGGCGAACCCATCAATCAACACGGAACTGAGTCCAGCATCTAATGAGCTTCATCCTCAAAACATTTCGAGCTAAATTTAACTTTGAATACTGTTTATTTGTATGAATTAAAAACATGAAGATAAATTCAAATACATGTATTCAAATAGGTGTGCATTTCATTTTTTTCGTTTTATTGAATTTCCGATTCAGTTCTTACTCTTCTTCAGAGGCACCTTCATTTTTAGTTGAAATTTCATGAAACTTGGTGATATTCATCCCCCCGACATGAAAAAAGTGACATGGTGGCGCCATGTACCTGTAATATGGTGGTGAAAGAACAAACTTTGCATGTGCGACCACACAACGTATTTGCGACCACACTGTGATAGACGATTTGTTTTTTCTTCTACTTTTTTTTAAACGAAATAAATTTTAAATACAAAAATGATGAAATCGCAAGGAATTTTCTAATTGTGAACATTTTATTTTTGAAAATAGATAAATTTTATGATCACTCTTTGCGACCACGCACATTTTGCATTTGCGACCACAAATTATTTCATCCAAGTTGATAACAACTAACATCAATAATGTGGTCGTACATGCTCTTACATGAAAATTTGTTCTTTCACCACCATGTTGTACATGGCGCCACCATGTCACTTTTTGCAATACACTGTCATGTCGCAGGGATGGTGATATTACTTATTTTGGTCAGAAAATAAGATTCACAAGTTTTCATGGTGATTGGGTCACTGCAATTTTTCATGATTTTCCAGTAAAATGTACCTTCTTTCCTTACAAGTCGCTGTCTTATATGGAACCGCAAGTTGAAAATTCCTTCATATCTTGAATTTGGGGACTTTAAGACATGTTTTCTCAAATGGCCATCAAGATATGCCTCGAAATTCAAAAAAAATGTTCCACCCTAATATGTATTTCTTTAACACATCTCTGGTATTCAGTAACACGTTTAATGTTTGTCCGTGTAGTGAAATCGAGTGCTTTGGAGCCGCGTATGAATTGTTTGGACTTGGAAAGGTTCGAATAGCTGATGTCAATTTTTTAGTTTCCTTTTTTGAACTCGCGGCATTTGCTTATTTAAGATTAGCGTTAGTCTGTGGAAACTCTTGAATCTTATTTTCTTATCGAAATGCATAATCACAACAAGTTTTTAAAAATTTCAATCAGAAATAGGGGTACCTCCCTTATAAAATTTTCTATTTTTGGTGATTTTTTAGATTTTTGTTTGAAATGTGTATCAAAAATTGGTCGTATCGCAAAACTTACGCCAGATTCGGTTTTCTCTTACCAAAAAACCTCCAATAACATCTCTATTCAAAACATTTGTGTCACCAATCCAATGAGGGGATGTGAAGACTTCAAGTCTCTTTGAGCCGACGGTGGCGCCCCGAATAAACAGCATGCCAATTTTAAACTTTGCTGTCATTTCCTCCCATTGCACCAATCCTGTTCGAATTCATTGAAAATTCAGATTTTTTACACTTTCTCTAAAATAACATATGAACAGAAAATTTTAGCACAAAATGCAGGTGTTTATTGCGCTACATAAACAAAAACAAAAATGTCAACCAATGCACATAAGAGACTTAACGGGACTTCTACTCTACTATCAAATACAATTTGCACAAAAATTTCAAAACAAATTCTGCATGTCTTCTCAATCTGTCTTCGATTGTTGAAAATAAAGTTGATTTATTCATGAGAATGAATCGGCAATGTTGATGAGAACAAGTCAGTGCTCTTAGTTCTTATTTGAAGGACAATAGAATTAATTAAGAAGTATGTGCAATACGGAGGTAAACAAATGTAGGGCATATGGCAAGAATATGCTATTGTTAATTAGATACGCATAGATTCTATAATTGAATATTGCGGGGTTTGAAATGTAAGCAATATAATGAAATCAATTGTAGTGGGAGAATAAATAGAGATTTAGTTATTGAATAAAGTTAGACTATTCGGCGAAAGCCAACAAGTAAGAACTTGTTTGTCTCAGTTCCAGTTGCAGTTCAAGTAGTAAAGCAGTAGCAGTAGCTGATTGTTAGCAGAAGCAGTAATAACTTCGTTTTGCATAAATAACTTTGCCAAATTATTTCAACATCGATCTATGTATCGTGTTTTATGGATTTAATATGAATGTAAATATTCTAGAGAAAGCAAAAAGTCCGGTCGTATTTCCAATCTGAGTGCTCAAACTTTCAAAACTGTCACCAAGTGCCAAAAATCGGATTGGTCAAGCAAACATTCATTTTTGGTGATTCATTATAATATTTTCAAAATAAGTTACGAAAAAAATTCCGAATAGTGTCAAAATTTGGCTGTTCACTTCGCCTCATAGCATGTTGCACTGAAAAATTCATCATTTTGGACAGTAGGGTGAAGCGTTTTTGATCTTTTTTTGGAGTATTAATGCGTACACTTGGATTTATATGTGTCTTGGCGCCCCGAATCAGGATGTACCAACATTTTTTCAAAATGTGACCATTTAGGCCTGCCGACTTGCACTTGAAGTATACCCATTTTGCTAAAAATTCATAAAAATTATTGTTTTCTCGAAATGAAAAAAATTACTATCTTTTACAACTTCTAATGTGTTATTTAAGTTTATTTTATGTGGTTTTACCATTTAATGTAAGATATAGCATATATCACATCAAAATAGGTGTCAATAGTTGACGGAAGAAATAAATGAAATTTTTTTGTTGTGCGCGTATTGGGGACGACATAATACGTATAAGAAACTGGCTCTGGATAGAAGTATTCAACCCATACCCATCGTTTTGAACGTTTTGCGCCACTTTCTGCGTTTTCTCCTGTTGGATTGGGCTCGGCTGATACAAGAGTGTTTTTATCCTCATCTTTTGACGTGCCATTTGTTCCATTTATGCCTTAACAGACATAATATTTTTATATGCTTCATCATCTTGACTCGGTGCTTCACATAGTTCAGCCACTGTGACCCTTTTGGCGATGGCATCACTGGGTAAATTTTACGGTTTTCTCTGTCTCGGCGCTCCTCTTGGACGAAATCTGTGGTCCAACGCTTTGCTTTGGCATTTCGCACATTCTGAAAAGTCTGCCAATGGAACTGCTTGCTCGACATTACAAAGTTGATCTGAAAAAAAAATAAAAAAATGAATAGTTTTTGAATTTTGGCACTTACGCAGTGTATTTTCCATTGAAACACATACAACATAAATGTATACAAAACTTACTTCTTTGCCACTTTTAATGTTGTGTGTTACTGTGGTATTCCAATTCCGCACGCCTGTATTAATGCCCGCAAATTTTTTGAATTTGCCATCCATAATCATTTGAACGATGCGACGAGAACGGTCGATTTCTTCGTTATTTGTCTTCTTCTTGGCCGAGTGCTGTAGAGACACAGCGATTCCATCGGTGTTTATGGAAAATTCAAACTTCTTTTTTCCACGCACGAATCACCGAATTTTCCGCATGTAGAAATACTGATTCCACCAATGATCACTTGCATCGTTGAAATCCTTTTGTGGAATATTTATTATGCTGGTTTTACCGTTTTTATTCTCAACTTCCACTTTCGGTAGCAATTTTTGCGAAGACAACACCTGGTGCATACTCGAGCAGTCAATTTTGAAGTGCTTTCGGCGAAAATCACACATCAGCACCACTACTAAATTCCGGATGAATGGCCGAAAGTTTGGATCGTCGAGAATTTGTTTGCGCTTGGGGCACCACTCACGTTTCTTCTTTGATTTTTGCGCTTTCTTTTCTTTCGTTTGGGTCGGTCCTGATGTGGCCACGTCGAATTGTACTCTTCTATCTCGCGTTGCATAGATAGGAACATTGGCATGGCCTTAAACCAATGTTTTTCGTCAGTCGTGAGGTCATGCAGATCGATTTCTGGAAACTCATGTCATACAACATGCCACACCGTTCGAGTTTGTTTGGATCGTGAATTGGCACTTTGATGTTTTTTTCTTTGATTATCAGTTTTACAACACTTTCGATGTCACTTGGAAAAAAATTCTCTGCGTCCTCTTCTCGGTCTGTGTTCAATTCGAACACTTTCAGTTTCAAGTACTGGGTGATGTGTTTGTCAGCATGCGTTGTTGAATTGGTGACGACGTTGTCTGTGTATTGATTGGCCAAATGCTTGAGGCCATTGCCATTGAAATCTTTGTTTTTGGGCCAATCGATACGATGGTAGTCGTCAAGACCTAAAAATGAAATATGTTTGTCAAATGTGTAGTCAAATTTTGACTGTCAAAACTCGCTATTTTATAAAGGGGATGAAATTGTTCAAAATATCTAAATAAATCAACTATTATTATTATTATTATTACCTTCGACGATTGCTTTGAATTCAGAATCGATACGTGGCAGCTCTGCTCGTGGTCCTCGTGGCTTAGTTCCTCGTGGTCTGTACGTCGACTTCGGTTTCGGTGGCTGATTGTTATGCCATAGCACTTGGTAAAAGCAGAGTTGGTTCTTTTTTTCTCCACTTTCACCAAAAAATGCGAAGTCATTATTCTCAATGCCTATGTTCGTACGCCTTTTGCACCTCGAACCAGAACAGCAATGAGCCCAAAACGCAAATTGAAGTGGCTTGCAAACTCAGGTCCGTTATTTTGCTCATCAATGCTTGCTGTAATTGTGAGCGAATGATTGTCTTCAGCGCACATTTGATCGTTGTAATCTCATCCTTCGTTCCTCCCTTCGCTGATATGGATGGCTTGAAACGATTCGCCATTTTCCTGATGAAAAAAAAAACACACGATCGATTTAGTTTAAAAAGGAATACTATTATATTTGCGATATTTAGACATTTTCATTGATCCATATAGATATTTTTTACTGAATGATTTTTCATATTAATGATACCTGTGTTGGAATTCTAACGACATAATTCCGATCGACATTTTTGTTTATCGGAATAATTGTTTTGTGTGTGGAACAATGATCGAACTCATTGAGTAACACAGTAAAACAATCGAACACATTGTTTCACACATAAAACCATAGTTCCGATAAACCAGAATTCCGATCGGAATTATGTCGCTAGAATACCAGCACTGGCTGAGACACAAAAATATTGAGATTTTTTGATAGAAACTTACGATTGAATAAATCTCAAACAGAACAAGAATCTATCTCCTTTTTTGGTACACACACAAAAATGGATGGATGCATAATTTTTCGGAAAATCATTAGCTATGTTATGATTTTGTAAACCATAGATTAGCTTGAAATTATTCTAACTATTTGATCATCGGTTGTTGCCCAAACGATTGAAACTGGTCATTTATGATTTCACAATATTTTTAAATGTTTTGTTATTATCATTAAAATATTAATATCGAATCAGCTGTTCAGTACCAAATTATGCTATTTTTGCCTTCAATATGGTAAACGTATAGATAACTATAACATTTTCATCACTCATAAATTACTTAAGCACCACAAAATCAACATCAATCACGTTATGTACACAATACATAACAAAATGTTTTTTTTTTTGATTTGACGCATTTTTTATGCACTGTGTTCATTGCACACTGTATTCAATGTTTTGAAGTATTTATTCACTAACTGGAGTGTCATACGAATGGTAAATGTCACATCAATTTTATAACCTCACTCTTTTGAAAAAAATCAATTTTAAACTGAATTTCTAAAGCTAACATGTTGTTGAAAAAACAATTATTTTCCATCTTTGGAATTTTATTCATTTATTAAGCTCAATGTTTGAGCTTTATATTTTTTACAATTTTTTTTTTCATACATTTTAAACATTTACTTCATTTATCGATGTATCCAAACCACGTTGAAATAGATATCTTTTGGTATCCTGTTCAAGATGTTTCATAGCTTGTGGAAAGGCATTTTGATATTGTGCGACCAAAGAGCCAAGTCTGGGCAAATCGTCCAGTGTAATTTCCATATAGTCAAATGCAATGCCCGTATTTTTTTCGATATTTTCATTATATGGTAAAATATAATATCTACTGCTAAAATGTGTAAGTATCGTGTGTTTAGCCTCCATTTGTCTGCTTTGCTCAAGTGCCATAGACATGGTGGAATGTCTAGATTCATCAGCAAGGTCTGTTAATGCGTCTTGAAAAGTTGCCTCATGTATCAAAAGATCAGCTTTATGTCCCAATTTCACAAAATCATCAGACAGGCCTGTGTCACCGCTGTACGCAAGCCGAAATGTTTCCACGTTATCTCCATTACGATATGAAAAATTCATCGTTAAAGCGTATGATTTTTTAAAATGGTTAACCGCACACGTTTTAAGCGAATCAATGTTCAGGTACACTTTTTCATGAAAGTTTAATTTATCATACAACTGCAAAATAATAATATTATCAATAAACTGTGGAAACAAAGAACAAGAATTCAGTCTTACCAAGACATCGTTATCGATAAGTTTCATATTGTGGTTTATGGATTCAACGTTCTTGGAATAAAATAAAATCCACGATTTAAAATCCTCCACCGGACAGAATATCCGTAATGGTTCACGGTTAGCTGGTAAATATCGCGACCTGGCATTCCAATGTGATGATCTAAATGCATATGTGATATATAAACACCTTTTAAACGCCGATATATTTCTGGCGCTTCTTTGCCATAAAATCGATTGATTTGAGAACACGTTCCATAGCCACAATCTAGTAGAAATGCGTCGGTATTCCTAATTTAATGAGTCAAAATAAAAACTTAATTTCTATTTCATTTGGATGAAAAATTATTTAAAATTCACTTACGATAAATGAACTAGAATTGCAGATTGACCTCGCAAGGAATGTGAATCGGATGCACCCGTGCCCAAAAATAAGATTCTCGGAAATTGTTCATTTTCAAGCTTTGATGGAACATTTTGTGTGCACAAATGAAACTGTTTTTCCGGTTTTGCACCGGAATCGTCATTTATTAGAAACGATTCCGTTTCCTCAATAATATCTTTCAAAAAATCATCATCTGGTATTTTGCGAAGTATATATATAGTGTAAAATGTTGATGTTTGTTCGCTCATACTATCATATGGGTGAAATATTTGCGGCTCGTATCCAGTTGCGTGCTAAAATTATTTTCAATAGTTACTTTGTATCAAATATTTCAAAATTAAATGTCACAAACCTTAGCAAAGGATGAATTTTTGAATCGATCTTATGTAGCTTTTCCTGTAATTCGTATACACTTTCCATGCAAGAATGTCTGAAATTAAAATAATCTTTTTAGTCCCAAGAAAATTACATTAATCATTGTGCTTACGTGTTCATATCGTTTAAGATCATGTTCCTTTTCGGATTAATGGATTTGATGAAATATTGATAGCCTGATGTTTCAAACACATCTTTTGGTGTAAAATGGATAATAAGCTCAACATTTGGTAATTTTGATTCGTGTAATAAGCTTTTCAATTTGATATTCGTTTTCAAATCTTTAAGATAACCTTTATGTGGTACATCAACAACTAAAAAGGAAGAAAGAACAAGCAAAGAATATATGAGTACATCAACCAACGTCGCATGCTATATTCAGCTCTTGTAAAACTCACCAATAAAATGAACTTCTGGACACCTCATTTGCTGTTACAATAGTACCATCGTTCAGAGTGACATCTTCTCCGCGTAGTAATTTTTTTGTTAAATGTGGTGGAACATTTTTCAACGCCAATTTGCTCAGCGAAAATGTTCCTTTGAATGCTTTTAATGTGCATAAATAAATGAAGGCAGTTTCGTTCAAATGTTTCAATTGAATCGGTTCAATAATTAAATCATTATCTTCAAATGGTTCGCATGACTTATATGTTTCTGGTGTAAAACGATTCTTGAAAATACCACCAACGAATGATAGAAGTGACATCCTTCTGAAGATATTTTCTAAATCATTTGGTCCATGGATTGAAGGTAGATAACCATAGCTGCCAACTGTTTCAAAAAATACACATATCATACCGCCAATACAATTCCATTTTGATTGTGTAAAAAATAAGTAAAAAACACTTCTTTGGAAGTTCTCACTGTGACGCAATACTGCACATCAAATCTGAAAATGATCTGATATAAATTTTCAGTGACGCTTGCAATCAAATACACAAACAATTTTTATATTGCGTTGCCTCTCTCATTCTTAGAAAATTAAAAATGAAAATTTCATTGTGATAATGCGTATTGCGTCACTTGGGGGACTGCCGTCCCCCGTGATATATGATTAATATTTTTTAATGATACTTTGACATTTTTTGCCAAGGCTTTTATTCCTTCACCACAATTAAAGAGATAGGATTTAGTTGTTGTTTTGAGAACTACTGAGGCCGGTTGATCAGGGGAACCTGATCCAATCACTTTCAGGTAAGCATCTTCTGCCTATATTTTTGGTACCGGCTTTGGTTTGATATACTTTTTATGCTTCCCAAGTCAGTATAATACACTTTTCGAAGAGTGTACACGCTCTTCTCACACTCTTCGTATAGTTTTATTCGACTCCCTTCTCACACTCTTCTCACACTCTTCTCACACTCTTCTCATTCCAGTGAAAGTAATGTTTGTATTTTGATATTTGAACGTTTTTGACGTTTATAGCATTCGTCAGTTGTGTCAAAATACAACAGAACAACAATTGCTGTTGCAACAGCAAATTCATTTTTTTTTGTATACGTTCATTTTTTTCAAAATGTCAAAAGTAAACAAAATCAAAAACTATCCATCTGTGGAAAAATTTATTATATGAGAAGAGTGTGAGAAGGAAGTCGAATAAAACTATACGAAGAGTGTGAGAAGAGTGTGTACACTCTTCGAAAAGTGTATTATACTGACTTGGGTTCTACGTAAAATGTAATATGCAAAGGAACTTTCACCTCAGTGTGTTATTCCAATTATCGTTTAATGATCTATTGTTGTCTAAATAAAGTGGCTCTCATTAAAAATCACATAGATCACATTTTTCAAATCGAAACACTAAATTATAAGGGAAGCAAATGTGAGAATTAGAATAAGCTAGTTTTGCACAGAAAAGCGATTCCACTCAAAATTATATACACAAAAGTTTTATTTGATGATAATCATAAAGAAAAAAACTCATAACAAAAACTGATTCGAAGGACATTTGAACATTATTTTTATGAACAAAAAAAAAGAGAAAAATAAAAAAAATTATTGTTGATTCGTAGTGATAGCACGTAAATTGCAAAGATAATATTTCATGTAGAAAACACGATTGCAGGCGTTTTTGGGGCATATTAATGTTACTCGCTGTGTGTGATGTCCGGTGTAGTACACATGTATCTCTTCTTTCACTACGATGCGTTCACTTGGATGAAATTAACACAAAAAATAAAGTAAAATAGAGTGCGTTACTCTTTTTGAGGGGTAAACTCTCTGCTAACTCTGCTATTTGTTTCTATGTGGGAGCCATGACTTTGCGTACCACAATGACGTGAAACTTCCACAAAAAAATAACATTCTGAAAGTTTGAAGAAACTTTAATGCAAAAAGTCAAATATAAGCCAAAAATCGAAAAAAAATTCTTTAAACTTGGTGAGAATATTTATTTTGATAAGAACATAATATTCACATGTTTTCACGGTGATTAAAGTTACTGCAAGCCTCTTTATTTTTTCTTCTAATATTTGTATTCGTTTGTTCTTACATCAACTCCTAATTATTTTAATAACGAAAAGTGTTGTTCAATTTTTGTTTTTTTTTATAATTTTTATTTAACATATAAAAGTGTTCACTGTATTTAAAAAAAATGATGTTCAAAAAAGAAGAAAAAAAAAGTAATTTTGAGTAAAAAAAGAGAAAGGAACGGTTCATTCTTGTTTGATTACAACTTCCAAGGGCATTATGTAATACTCTTCATCGGAACTGTCCACCTCTACAAGAGATATTTCATTTTGTGAGGTCGGTTGGTAACTGCCGAATTGTGTGTAATCGTCATTTCTACCCATAAATTCGTGTTCATATCTATCTTCAACATGGGATTTACTAATTATCTCCATCAATTTTCCGTCATCTTCATCGTTATTAAGCGTTTCCTCCAACATGGTATATTGTGAAATTATGTCCGATATCTGTTCTTTTAAAAACAGGTTGGAGCCTCTATAAATTAAAAGACGTTTCTTGGCTTTCATGCGTGATTCCCTCGATTTTTGATTGTTTATCTTGCGAGCATCGGCTGTTTCCATTGAAACATCTTCACGCTTGATGAACTCTCGTGCTTTATTTGGGTGATACGTGGTATCTATTGGCTTCTCCGCCAACATCTTCGATATATATTTCAGTTGAAGATCGGCGTTACGAATTTTTGCCTTTTCACAATTTTCAAGAACTTCTCGAGGTAACTTTTCTATTTCATATTCTTGACGCATTACCTTCTTCGCGATATTTTTATCTATAAAATCGTCGTTATGATTAACAGGTGTATTAACATTTCTGCTTTTCTTTAATTCATTGATTTTTTTATAAATCATCGCATATGGTGGAATTTGAACAGCTCGAGTCTTTTTTACTTTTTGATTATTTTT